TTTGTCTTATCCACACTAAGGCTGCCCAGGAATTCTATTGAATTGCAAACAGTGTGACAGAAATGTTAATAAATGGTTTTTTCACTTTAATGTTTGTTTATTGTCTCTATTGACTTTCAAGATGGTGTTAATGACTTGCATACTAGCGCAAATGAAAGTATATTTTTCGCTTTTGTATGCCGAATGACGCATATGAATGCCCAAAAGTGTTATTGAATGTTGATTAAAATGCAAAAATCGCAATTGAATCTGATTTATGCGCAAATGTTCGTATTTTCGCGCTAATGAATGTATCTTCGCACTATTGATCGCAGTTTCACGCAAATGATTGCGCATTTTCTCGTAATGAACAGCAAAAGGTGTACTTCATAATTTTCTTAGCAACTTCAGTTTTATGTGTTTCATTTTGGAATCTGAACATTACGCCGTAAAGAAGAAACCTTCAAAAAAAGATGAAAGAATAAAACTAAAATTCCTTCGCGTGAACAAGATAAAAAGAGCATTTATTATAATCTACAACTATTTTCCTTGGGCCCAGTTCAGTGTTCAATGGCCGATTAGCGCTAACCCGGGGTTAAATTGTAATCCCAGTTTCAGTTTCGAATAATTTTCTCTATTCTTTTTTATAGACTCCAATCATCAAGTTATGGATAAAAAAAAACTACACAAAAACCCTCGTGTATCTTAACCCAGCTTTGAACAGCCCGTCCCTGATGAAAAATAGCTAGGTTAGGAAGAAAACAAATATACGATACTTTTAATTACAATAACGTAGAAGTCTGTAATTTCAATAGACATGTGGTGTGATTCCAGATTACGTGAGGAAGACAACAAATTAATAAAACTACACAACATTTACGCTGATGAATCAAATAAGTGTGATAATAGTATTTCCAAAAAACGCTTATAGAGCTTATCAGAAATAGCCGGCAAGACAAGTAACGTTGTCGGAAGAATTCCACTATTAATCTAATAGACTATCCAGCCAGATCAGTTTGTTTCTACAAGGTATGCACGCCGGGCGGTGATGCGTTTTAGTAATATAAAGATTTAGCCAGGGCTAAAAGCGAAGCTCTCGATAATATTTATAATATGTTCAAACAAAATATAAAATCGTGTAATGCTAAGCGGCGACGGCATGCAACGCCGGAAAACGGTGAAAAACAACATTAGGTCTAATTAGCAAAGGCAACTTTACACGTGTAGCACACTAATTGTTCAGCACACTTTTTTTGTACATTTCTTTGCCGTTGTTTTGCACGCCTACATCGTGAAACTTCTTAGTTACACGTTTTATAAAGGAAATGTCGTACGTGCTCCCGTTCACTTTTTTTCACTGCCGCTCATTTTCACCTTGCATTGGTGGCCGCTAGCATTTCTCATTTTGTCGCCGCCGCCACAAAATTTTCATGTTGTTCTTCCAACCAAAAAAAATGTCTCCTTTGTTTTTTTATCTCTCGTTCTAAATCCCTGTCGTCGTTGAGCTTCGCTGGTCTGTCGCCCACTTTCTCTTTTTCTCTCTCTTTCTCTTGCTCTATATTCCAAATTTGTGGACATGACAATTTATCTAAGCTTAATACTTTAGACAACACGGATACAGAAACAATTTCCGCCTTCCGTTTTCGTCTCTATTGACTCTTTTGTTGTGTCTGCTTTACAAGACGCCGGTGGCTATGCGATTTCCCGCCAAAATAACCTCGAGTTGCATTTGGGTTGCCATACCTCTTGATTGAGTTATTTTACACTGGTATGCCTGTGGTGCGGACGGACGGTCTCTCGAGCGGGCGGTGTACGGTCACGTGATTACCGAATTTTCTCGGATGGGTAGATTACTTCATTTTCTTACCCATGGTGCTCCGCTGGCGCGCTTCGCGCGCGAGAGCTCCGCTAAAAATTTCAAGAAAAGACTAACGTTTTATTTTCAAAATGACCCGGTCTAGCCGGCCAGTTCTGACTTTTGGAAACGCCCTTAGACATGATTTGACTCCTAGGGCTGGCCACTAAAACAGAGATTAGACGGTGTTTAACAAAATAGCGTTTTAAGCCGTTTTCAGTTTGGCCAACCTTAATATCCAAACGTTGTCTGGCGTACCAAAAAGGTATGCAAAACGACTGTATACGCACAAACTGAGTATAGTAGAGACTAGAACAACGTCTGGAGGTCCACTGACCGACATCTGTCATTCCAGAAAACCGTTCAAAACCAGCCATTTCAAAATCAAACTACCTGGATGCTAACCGCAGAAATGACATCAATATAGAACTATACACTGTACATCAGAACAGTCCTCTGTATCACTGATGTCCTTCACTTGGAACC